AAAATCCCTTTTGGCTTGGTCCAATTCAGATAGACGAACTTCTCTTGTCTTCACATTGGATAACACCTTCTATCTATTATTCACTAATAACTTAGTCCTTTATGCCTTATCTAATACCCTCATGATACTAAACACCACTTTTTGGTGTTTTAGAGTGTTGAAGTGTCCCAATGATGGCCTTCTTTGATAATGAGTATTTCCTTTTTCAACACTAACTTATTATATTGCAACATAAGCAATTTATCCCCCGGAGGGATATATTTAACTTCTTTATCCAAACAAAAGTCTTAGGTAATTAATTTCTACCAGTCCAATCAATTAGGTTGCACCTTTTGCTTAGTTGTCTCATAGTTGTCAAGTCCTATAACTCATTGCTAGTGCTTCCACATCTCCATCATTATTTGGGTCACCACACTCTTAGCTTAGGCTATGCCATTTCCATTTCCATTAGGATTTCTTTTGGCAAAGGGTTTTCATGAACCAACTAACTTGACTTCAAGGCATCACACCTTGGCACATTTGGTGTCTTCACACCATCAGCTCTACAAGCTTATCTTTACAACACTTTTCACTTGTGTTTAGATCTTTGCCAAGACTAAAGTAATCGTTTCTCATGCCAACTATCAGTTAACACTGCACTATAGTGTTCACATACAACTCTGCACCAAAGTTGTTTTCTTCTAGGAACACCTTTCCCATAACTTTAGTATGGGACATTTTGCCATCAATGAGATACCCACTATTTTCATATTTGGATCTTATGATCTTCTTTGTCCTTTGTAGAGTATGACACACCTTAGTCCAAATGTTTCCACTACATCTTTAAGACCATTCTTTGACTCCACTTAAGTCATCTAACTTTTTGGACTTTGCTCATTTGACCACCCTTAAAGTCTTAGCCTCCTGGCTATCTTTGAGATGTCAATTCACTAGAATACATTTGTAAGTGGCTAATTTTTCCCTTTTACTTTAGTCACTTAACCACACCTCTGACCATTTGGAGGAGTCTCACTCACAACCTCTATAAGTCAAATTCAGGACTTGGGGCTTGCTAACCCCGAGAATAGCATCCATGCCACTCACCTTTAGCACTTGGTCCAAGTGCTCTACGTGTTAAATCCCATGACCAACACCCAAAGGTACTACCAATATATCAACCCGTTATGCTAAGGCCATGCCCATTCACCTTTGTCACATTAATGGTCAAATACCACTTGCATCACAATCTTGTCTCTCAAAGCCATAATTTTTTATTGGATATCATGCTAAATATAGCATATATGATCATGGGATGAAATTTGGATATACTGTCACCGTGGATCCTTGGAATCTTGAGGGATAAATGATATACTATGAGGTAGGTAATGCCACCCACACTTGGACGGGGAGCATCGGCCACGATCTCCTGGGGGAACTAGAGCCGGCTCTTGAACACTTCACCAAGCTACCCTGCTTGTCGGTCTATATTCACTCTAGTCTTGGACTTCCCAATGGTTATCCCATCACCCAACACTTAGGAACAGCCTTCCTAGGCCAAACTAGCCTTTCCTGGCCAAACTACAGTCCTCCCCCTCACTATACTTTTGGAGCTCACCAAACCCCCTTGGGTCTGGGAGACGAACGCTTTGGGCTTTCACCCTCTCAGACTCGAACTCGGACTCGGACTCGGACTTGGACTCGGACTCGGACTTGGACTTGGGCTCGGGCTCGGTCTCAGCCTCGGCCTTGGTCTCGGTCTCGGTCTTGGTCCCGGTCTTGATCTCAGTCCCGGTCTCGGTCTCGGTCTCGGTCTTGGTCTCGGACTCCATCTCGGATTCCATCTCGGGTCCATCTCGGACTCCATCTTAGACTCCATCTCGGGTCCATCTCAGACTTCATCTCGGGTCCATCTCGGACTCCATTTCGGGTCCATCTCGGACTCTTTCACATGTCATATGTCGGTCCTATTGTGTCCCTTTCCTAGAGACTCATTTATCTTTCACTTCGTGCTTGTTCCTCGAGCACTTCGTTGGGAGTTCCACTCCCACTCTCGACTTTTTCAAGTCGGAGCTTTTAGTCCAAACGTGTTACGCTCGTTTGACTTTTGCTTTGGCCACTACCACGTAGCGCCCTTTCGGCTCCACTTTGGGGCCTAGGGATTTTGTGTCTCACAACTCCACCACCCATAGACGAAGTTCGATGCCCTCATCAAACGATAGACTATTTCATAAAGTAATACCAACATGTATTACCTTTCCATCCTTGGCACCTCGCCAATATTTGTCAATGGTTTGACACCAAAGGCTCACCATGCCTTGTTCACCCTCTAAGGAGCATAGTCTCTCCAACTTAGAGACTCATTTGACACTTGTGGTGGTTCTCTCCTTTTACTAGTTTAGTTCTTGCTAAACTTGTTAGAGACACCTTCTCTAACTCAATCCCACTACTCATTCTCGGGTAGTCTCACTTTCCATTGATATAACCCTTGCACTTTGGAACTTTTAATTTTGACTTCTCGAAGTCAATTTCTTGGGTGTCTCTGACACCTTACGTTGCACATGGTGCAACTCCACTTCCCGTCCTAGGAAGTTCTTTATTTGAGGGCACCATCATCCTCTCTTCGATATCGTGCCACCTTTGGCACTAAGTTCCAGTTATCGTAATTCGTGCTAGGGTTGTCCATGGCCCTATCATTTGGCTACTTTACCACTCCATCCCTTGGAGCTTTCATCTTCGCGAAATCGGGACAATTGAGAACCTATCCTTGGAAACACCTTGCCTTCCCATAATCCGTTAGCGTTCAACATATTAGTGTTCTTGGACTAACTTTGCCATTTGGCTTCTATCCCATGATTCCCATGACCCTTTTCTTAGCCACTAGTCTTTTACTCCTATCCTTGATTGTTGCACCACGCAACACAAGATCACCACCTCCATTCTCGAGGTATCCTTTCAATTCCATAGCAAAGACTTTGTTTTGCCAAGTCCAGAGGGTGTTCACCCCTAGTACGTCTCCTTAGCATTTTTTGCTGTGGGCTCTATCACAGCCCAACTTTGAGACCCTTCCATGGATCTCTTATAGAGACTACTTTCCTCGGACTTATTATGCTATTGCATTGACATAGCTCATTTCCCTTAGGTGTTTTTCCCACTTTGTCACCTTGACCAAGCCACACCATCATCAATAGTTCCAATCAACACTTTGAACTGAGAACTTTATACCTTAACCTCACAAGGACTTTGTCCTTGTTTTAGCCATAAGATCATATAGTGATCTAACTTTGGCACCTTAACAGGTTTGCCAATAGATATTAGGTCTTTTAGACCTTTAAATTGTTCACCATAACCCCGGGGGCATCCCCCACACTTGGCGGCACACCTAAGCCAACCCTTCCGGCCAAGGGTCCATAGCAACTGAGACTAGGTGTCCCCATCTCATTCACTACGTCTTTAGTGCCCTTCGCACCAAAGTGTTCAAGTTAGATACGTTAAACCACCCTGAGCAATCTAAATGTGCATCACGACTCCGAGGCATCCCTCGCTTGGTGGTGTGCCCAAACCAGTCTCCTCACTGAGAGTCCATGACCACCGAAAAATGAGTGTCTTCATATTCCAAACCATCACCACACCTTAGTGATTTGGGACTTGAACCCAAGCACTAGAGGGTCGGGACTCGAACCCAACCTCCGTATATGCATTTACAGACGGCATTACACAGGATGCTTAGCGTGACTCCCCACGCTGGTGCACCAACTTATACTTAAAGCGCACTACAGATCACAGCTTAGGAACCTAATTCCTCCGCACTGCCAAGTCCTCTGTAGCGCACCTTATCTCTCTCCCCTTAAGCCAACTGGAAAAGGGGCAATTGCTTGATGAGAGAGCCCTTACATTTATCCCCCAAGGTTCCAAAGATCCACGGTGACAGTATATCCAAATCTCATCCCATGATCACATACGCTACATCCTCTCACTTGACATGTCTGTGATCATGCATGGACTCCTCCATGCTCGGCCCCATAGGCCACCCTTTTGAAGTTGGCTCCTTCAACTAAGGTATTCGTTCCCCCGATTTGCCAATCTCATTTAGCAAGTCATTCGGCCACCGTTACATGGTTCATGCATAAGCGTGAAAGTCCTTAACCATTGACTTTCGTTCAAAGCCCTCTCTTTGAACACTCAAGAACTACTTCCCCAACCTTGATAGCCTCGCCTCATGGCAAGCTTCAAGACCACGCTTCTGTTGCGCCACTCTGATTTTGCGCGTTCTATAAACCATTTACCCTTGGCTAACTAGGTACTTATCTACTTAGGGGAACGTTCAAGGAACTCTATTTCTTAGTTTGCTAAGGTTTCTCCTTTCGCAAACTTCCCAATTATCATATAGTTCTACATGGACAATCCCATGCTTTAGACTCTCTATGGCATCCCAGTCACTAGTAACAACATGCTTGAACACCCACTTAATTCTCCACTCCCAACTTGCATAACCACCCTTGATCATGCCTGTCAATTCCTATAGTTCGGTTCTATCCCTTTATTACTTGCCTTTTGGCCTCATACATTTTCTTCCGTTATTCTCCTCCAAACTAGGAAGATAGCTTTGCACTTTCTACCATGCCTTGACAAGTATTCATAGGGATGAACCTACCTGACAGCCTAGGGAGTAGTGTCAACTATCAACTATTAGATGATAGAATAAAAAAAAAAAGCAGTGAAGAAAGCAGAGACCTTAGCAAGTTTGTCTAACAGGGAGGTAATCGAGAAAGATGCAGATCAAAAGAAAGCAGTGAAGAAAGCAGCTAAGAAGAAAGCAAACGATCACCTCTACAATATCTCAGTGGAGGAAGTGGTGATGGCAAAGAGTGTTGTGAAGTAGAAGTGCATTGTGTGCCATCCTTGAGGCACACCTTCTTGTGTTTAGGTGCTCACTTTCAGCATTTATCAGTGACCGCACAGGAGTATAGCACCATATTGACTTGGAGCCAAGAGTTTCTTCTATCACTTGGCCGATTATATGCATGACACGAGACAAACGTGAAATTGTAAACTCCATGGTCGAGGATCTTCTTCAGCAAGGGATGATCTTTGAGAACACTAGTGCGTTTGCATCCCCGGTGCTTCTAGTTTTGAAGAAGGATGGCACATGGCAACTGTGCGTGGATTATCGAGTGCTGAATAAGGGACAATGTCATGCTAAGTTTTTCAGCAAGATAGATTATCAGATCAGGGTGGCAGCTGCAGGTCAACATAAAACAACATTTTGGACACACAGGGGGCTTTTTGAATTTGTGTAATGCCTTTTGGCTTGTCTAATGCCCCTGCTACCTTTCAGGCCACATTCCTCTTCAAGTTCGTTGTAGTTTTCTTTGATGATAGACTTATCTGTTCTTGGCACAGATGTTCTTCAGCTATTCTTGGCATATCTCAACCGTATTACTAATAGCACTTATTTGGATCAGCCATCAACTACCCGTTGGAAACTTTGAAACCCCAGATGTGTGATCTCAGTTATACCGAAGTTACACTTGGATAATTTTGCCACCATGCCATGCTGTTTGAGTACAAGTGGCTTGAACCTTCATCATTGAAGCAACTTCAAGCATTTTTGGGCTTTGCTAACTACCTTCGCAAGTTTGTGCAGCACTTTACATCAATAGTAGCTCCTCTTACAGATATCATTCACTCATCCAACTTCTCTTGGTTTGAAGCTGCTCAAAGTTCATTTCAAGCCTTGAAGGAACAAATTCTAGCAGCTCCAGCCTCGCTCTTCTAGATTTTTCAAAGGAGTTCATCGTGGAAATTGATGCTTTGGACGTGGGAGTGGGAGGTATACAACTTACAGTTTATTGCCTTTGAGAGTCGCTGATTTTCTCTTGTGGAATCCCGCATGGCCGTCTATGAACAAGAGATGACAACGGTGCTTCATGTTATTCGAAAGTGGCACCACTATCTTTCTTTGTGTCACTTTTGCCTACGTGTTGATCATCTTAGTCTATGTTTTCTTTTGGACTAGAATCATCTCCAACAAGAAGCAACGTCATTGGATTGAGGATCTCCAATCACTTGACTTTACCATTGAGTATAAGCCAGGTAATTTCAACATCATTCCTAACGCATTTTCTTGCATGTTTGCAAAACCAAAAGGATCTGCAATGTATGATGTTTCCCGCCAGCAACCCGAGTTTCTGCAGGCAATTCGGGATACATATCTTGAGGATCCAACTCTTGCCTCTGCTTGTCAGACGTTATCTGCTGGCAACCCGTATCCAAAGTTCATACTAGATGACGGTCTCTTATGGCGGAAAAGATGCCCAGTTTTGAGTGGCAGACATGACCTCCAACGTCAAGTTTTTCGTGAATGCCATTCTAGTTTTGTTGCAGGTCATCCAGGCGGGAATGCAGAAGAGAAGCGGGTTTTCGGTGATCAAAACCAGGTGATCAAAACCCAGGTGATCAAACCCAGGTGATCTCGGTGATCAAAACCATGTTTTATTGGAAGGGGATCCAGAAGGAGGTGAAGTGATGGGTTTGTGAATGCTTGGTGTGTCAGCAGACAAAGCATGAGACGGTTCCAAATCCAGGGTTGCTTCATCCTCTTCTTCGCTAATGGCCCATTTGACAGCATTAGTATGGATTTCTTCATGGGATTGCCATTGGTTCGGATCGCTTCTCCAAAGTTGGTCGTTTTATTCCCAACAAAATCAACAGCGTCAGCTAAGGATATTGCAGAGCTTTTCTGCTCTGAAGTTGTTTGTTTCCATGGATTGCCTCGCAAGATTGTTTCAGACAGGGATCCAAAGTTTCTCAGTGTCTCTGGCACCAACTCTTCCAGTCTATGGGCGTCAAGCTTTCCTTCAGTTCAGCATCCCACCCTCAGTTAGATGGGCAAACTGAAAGGACAAATCAAACACATATTTACGCAGCTACACTCTGGACTGTCCATCCTCATGGCTCAGGTGGCTTCCTTTTGCGGAGTTCGCTTAAACACTTCTTGCCATGCTACTTTGGGAGTTTCACCTTATTCAGTGTTCTATGGACAACAAGTACACAAGTTTCCTTTTCCTTCTGCAGAATGTACAGAACCATCGGTGACTGAGTATCTCCAGACACTCTTAACTTGATCCATCAACGTCTCGGGACACTATGAAAGGATATGCTGATCAACACTGCTCTACACGGACTTTTGAGGTGGGAGACTATGCCTACATTCGTTTTCGGCCACAGCAATACACTCTGGGTCGGAGAGAATCACCACGATTGAAGTTTCATCCACGATCTTTTGGTCCATCGTTGTTCAAGAAAAGATCAACGAGGTGGCATTCTGTTTGAAGCTTCTGGCCTCTGTGTCCTTCTGCTTCAGTCCACTTCCAGAAGTTTTGTTTGAGGATAAACAGTTGTTGGCTCCAGAGCAGATCCTGCAGGTTGATGTACACCAACTTCGGCATCGTGTAGTTCCTTGTTTCCTCGTCCAGTGGCAAGGTACTAGCACTGAGACAGACTCATGGATCTCTCCAAATCCAGGACCTCTTCCATGTTGAAAAATGGATCTGGACAAGCCGGGGATTGAAACCCAGGACCTCCTACACCAATGTCAAGTGCTCTACCACTGAGCTACCTGCCCTGGTTGTGTGCATGTTCAGCTTAGTTCTAACACTCCCCCATAATCTGAACATGCCACACATCCTGGTTGTGCCCCCCTAAGCTGCACACGCCACGCCACACATCCCTACCTGCCCAGTCCATGCCTACCACAGCTTAGTTCTAACATTCCAGTGGAACCCGGTGTTTCTGAGGACAGAGTTCAGTCTCTACATGTGAGGGGGTGATGTTAGGAATTGGTTCACACTAGGACAGTATGGATAAAGCGGGACAAGGCGAGTGTACAGTAGGTTCTTCTTTCTATGTCTTATTTCTCTTCTTTTCCTTCCTTTTTGATTGGTCAATTGTATCGATATGTTTTGATCATATTCTGCCACGCCCAGAAGGGTATGTTCGACCGCTTAAGTATGCCATGGATGGTATATGGTCTTCTTCAAGTTTTTGTAAGCAGGTATTCCTGTGCCGCTCACAATGACGTTCTGGCAGCCACGAAAGCTGGCGATACATAACCTGCCATGGTAATCTGCAAAACGAAACAAAAGTAAAGCGAAACAATCTTCCTCACAACCCACCTTTGGATCCATGTCTGGTGTAGCTCGAAACCATCCAACTACCGTTACGAGGCGCCGATCCTTCCCAGCATCCGACCAGCATTCCCCAGATCGTCGCCTCTGAAGTTAGGCTGGCCAGGAAGGTGGACTACTTCATCAGCTTCGGGATGCAAAGGAGCGAGGTCCGGCTGATGTTTCGAAAGAATCCATGAAGAACGTCGCTGGGACGCATCTGGGCATCCCTGGCATCGCACCAGCGCGCAAAGATTGGCGAGATTCTGCAGGAACTCGCCGGCGACTTCTACGCTTGTGCTCATGCCGACATTCGAGTTTGCCCACGAAAGCCCTATACCTAAATTTCCCACGAACCCTATAGGGCGTGCGCATATGTGAGTTTTACATCTGCAATCGTTAGCAATGAATTTTTCTGGTTCTTACAGGGAGGATTTAAGCGACGAACTCCTACTCTTAATTTTTCTGCATCTGGGGATTGCAGACTTGTTTCGTGCGCAATATGTTTGCAACAAATGGCACACCTTAATTCTAGCCAATTTGGAACAATATTTACAAGCTTATGGTCCATGGGTACTCATGGCTAACACTGAAGGTAAGAGAAATGCTTTGTTCATAGCAATTTCTTTTTTAAAAAAAAAAAAAATCAGGTTCTGAGGCCATTGTTTGGTTCCCTTTATTTGGGAGCCAAGCAAAAGTCTCTAGTAATGATCTCCACTTGAGCAAATTCTCTAGCATTGTGGCTTCTTACAAGGGCCTAGTGTGCAATCGACTCTACCATGAAGTTGAGACACTTCTAGCTCTCGTGGTTGGGAACCCCATTACAAACGAATGGAAACAGCTTCCAATTGTGATGGCAAGATCCAATGATCCCAGTTCTGACTGTAAGTTTTCAAGCAACGCATTCGAGGTGGAAATACAGGTGGACAGTGATGGCCACTACAGGGTTCTAGCCATTCCAGATACCGGCATAGCTGCATTCTGGGATGATGCACTAGAATATGACTCAAGAACGGATTGTTGGGACCGTTTGTTCCCAAAGGAGGGCCCCCAGGCAGAAAGATGGCAGAGGTTTCTATCACTGGGGCACACATTTCATACAACATGGTATTTATTGCTAGAGGTGATGCATGGGTGCCGCTATTGGAGATTTTTGCTGCCACCAGTAGGTGGAGTAGATCCAGACATGCCTTGGGCAACATCAGATCCCCTGTCACCAGTTGAGTTTTACTATTGGGCTGGCAAAGTTTTGAAAAACTGCTGTGCTAGCAGTGATATGGATTATGTTCTGTGGGTTGCTACAAAGCGGAAACGGCAGGAACCTAAACTAGTTATGGGATTTGTCATCTACAAGCTCTACCTTGACAAGCTGGACAATGCAGAGATTGCAAATGCAATGGTCTCTTATAAATCTGAAGAAGCATGGGAGTTTGTAACTGAAGTGGATGTCAAGCATCTGTATGGAGAAGGCTGGGATAGCCAAGGTGAAATGTCTAGAGATTGCCCTGATCCTGGCTTTCGTTACTACTGGATTGGGGATTTGGTTTGCATCATAAGGATTTCTAAGAATTGGTTGCCAGTTGCATTTAATTTGGCTACATGGGAATGGATCAAGCCAAATGTGGACATCTCAGAAAATTTTAAAGGAATGTCTGTGTTTATGCCATCCAGAATATTACAGGTTGGTGAAGCAACATCCTCTCAATCAAGTTATTATATTTATAATGATCTTGAGGAAGATTATCAACACCAATCTAAACTTCATGCTTCACCAAACTATATAAAATAATTCTTTTAATTGTTTTTCTTACTGCATAGAACGTTTTCCAGAGTCAGTCCTTACTCTCAAATTTCATCACGATCCTTAGAGCATCAGGCATCGATGAACACAACATTCCCCTTTCTGGCCAGGAAAAGTTACGGGGATGCAAGGTCCAAAAGATGGTCAGCCTCAACATCGACAGAGGATCAACTTGAGCTTGCTACCCGGCATGCCTGATCGCTGGAGACCGTGAGACAACTAAGTTCATATAGATTCTATATTCATGCCATGATTTGGTGCCACTGTTTCTTGCCAATTATCCACTATTTTCAACACTTATGAAAGTAGTTTGTAAATTTAATTGGCCAAAACAGTGGAAAGGGACATAAATAGAATATGGGGCACCTGATCTAAGCCTTTTATCCACAGCACTTTAACATGAAATAAGGTGCAACTTAGTCTGGTTTTTGAAGTTTTGATTTTCTTGTTTATTTTTTCAACACCATCTCTAGAGAGAGCCTTACAAGAAAGTAATTTTGTTTTATAAGCAATTGTTTAAGACAATGGGGGACATTGATATTTTAGATGTCTAAGAAAATGGCACAAACAGAGCTTGCAGTATTGCTAAGGATGTAATACATTAATTGGAAACTTAGAACCTCCATAAGGTTCAAACATTTAGCTCGGATGAATATTTTAAGCCTTCTTATGTTCCTTCAAGCTTTGTTTAACCAATGGAGCATGAGATGGGGTATATTAGACATTTATTTGAATATTCATTGCATGTCATTTGAATTTTTTACACAAAATTGTTTGAGGTTTGAGCAACATGAAAATTAAATACATAGATATACCACTTTTATATATACTTTGCCATAGGTAAAAATAAAAAAACCTTCTAACTATCTTGCTTCTCCCAAAATTATGAAAATTTTTAATCGGGCTTTTATAACAATACCTTTTAAACTTAGATTTATCAATGAATAGCTAAAACTAATGGCATTCCATTTAAAAATTCTATTATTACCACACTATCTATAGTGCCTTCAATGAGAAAACTAGCTCTCAAGAAATTACAGATGGCAATCCTCCATTTAATTTAGATTGCAAAGTGTTGCTTTTGGTGTTAATGTGAATAGGTTAAAGTTTTTGATAACTTATTTGGCAAGTAATTATAATTAATGTTAGTTTTAGATTAAGAACACTAAATTTAGTAAAATCTAAATTAATTTTTAAATTTAACTAATTAAAAAGGAGCATAGGTTATAGAGTTTTATATGTATAGACTAGAAAATATGATGTAAAATTTCTGTTTTTCCTTTCATGAGGTCCTTATAAAGTTGTGAGATGTTTGATCAGTGTTTCATGATATATAGTTGGCTATTAATATCAAAATATGAATTAGGAATTTTTAATTTTATGATTTTGATTTATTTTAATTCTCAACTTGGTGTTGGATTTAATCTTGTTTAGTACAAGTCCTGAAATACAAATAAAGTGGAGATTTTAATAAAATTCTCTTGATATCTCATCAGGTCTTATACCTTTTTCGATTTGGTGGGATATTATTGCAATTTTGTCTATAATTTTGCAAGAATTTCTCTTCTATTTATTGAGTTAACGAAGAGTAGTATATTGTTTCATTGGACACCAACTTGTCAATGTGCTTTTATATAGTTGAAGGAAATCTTGACTACGGTTCATATTCTCGAGATCTTAAATCTTGATAAACCTTTTGAAGTGCATTATGATGTATTTGGCTATGCTATATTGTTGTTATAGCAAGATTGTGACAGTGTGGTTGGTGTTCCATTAAAGCGACACAGTTGTCCCATGCGTTCTATTCCAAGAAATTGGATGAAACCTAATGAAAATGGTCAACGCACGAAAAAGAGATGTTTGCTATAGTGTTAGCATTGGAACATTGGAGGCACTATTTGGGAACACACTAAGCTAT